TATTGATTATTTGATTATTATTAGCGTATTTCTGATATCTCACAAAGTCAGATTTAAATTGAGAATTTGTGGTAGAGGTGCTCTGGAATTAATTAGACTGAAGACAACTGATGTATATTCAAATGTATTCTCTGTAATATAAATTTTGAGAATATTTACATTTTTTTCTTCTTCTCAAGTAGCAGCAGTCAAATGTTAATTGTCAAGCTTCTTGTTTAAAAGGCCAATCTTAAAATATGATGTAATTTTAATGCGTCTCCTATACTCACAGCACACAGGAGTACTTTCTAAGCTTTCTTTGAATTCGTAGTATGACTCCAGCTCTCCAGAGTTCTTTCTGTGGTTTCTCTGTGACTTACTTGTATCACGACTGCATTTATTAATACAGAATGTTTCATGCTTGTATCTTTATTTTGTAAGATTCCTCAAGATATCAGGATACTGGTGTCCTCCGTGACTGTGTTTTACTAAAACCCGGTACAACCGTGGATGAATTCTATAATGTAATATTACATACTTTGTGTCTAGTGTCTGGCAAGTTTGTCAGAGCAGAGGTAAGATATTTTCCATCAGGATTTGTTTACTGCTGTGTTTCTCCTCTACAGTTTGTTCATAGTGGATATAGTAGGACTGTGTGAAGCAATTTTAAAATTGTTTGTGATATGAACAATTTGTGTGCTGTACCCCAGAACATAGAATATACTGCATCTCAATTTCAAAATGCCATTTCATGAGATTTTACTTGCTTCATCCCATAAAAATTCCACTTGGCTTATATTGTAAAATACTTTATTTTAGCTTGAATTCATTTTCGCAGAAAACACCTTTTGGGTGTTTTGTATAGACCTCATTCTCACTGTTTTTTGATGCGTTAAATGTAAAATATAGAAAAAAATTGGTACATTTTACTTTCACTGAATCATCTCTTTAGCACAAATAGCACACAAAAAAAGTATTTTACAGCATTTAGCCAATAGCAAGGGAAGCAGAGATTATTGTATCACTTCTATTATTTCGGGGTAGATGCAAATCTGGAATTGTGTATCGCGCAAAAAATGTCCATAACATTTTCCTATATATGGCAATATATTGTTTATAACATTTCATATGTATAAATTTTCATTTTCTGGTTTACAACATTTTATTTTTTATTCTTCCTGTCCAGATATTTGCAATACAATATTCAGAGTGTCGGATTGATTAGAGTTTCCTGTATATGTTTGTATGTAGATTTATTGCATGGTTAAATTGATATTATCTCTCATTTTTTTCAGACCATTGATAGAGATGGAAATAAAAGACAAATCAGAAAGGTAGAAATCATCAAAGAAAATAATAATGTTAAAAAATTAATGACAACTAGGAAATCATAGTGACTATATGAGGGTGGTGTTGGGGGTTTCCCTTCATATCTATTAGACAGATAGAATAGACCATTTTCCGTTCACTGCGAGAATCATGCGTTATGCGTGAAATCGAACGTAAAAACAGGACAAACAAAGGTCATAGCGTCGTAGTCGCGTCAAACATCGCGTGGGATTCGACAAACGCGTAAGTATTTCGGGGACATTTCCATGCTTAATAATGTGCTGTCCACATTTGATGATAGACAATTTCGATTAAGTAAGGGTATTCGGAATCAATATTCCCCTGTCGAAATCGGCCGGTCAATGTAAGCTGCGAAATAAAGAAATTCTAGATCAAAATCAAATCGTTCGATTTTTGCGGCAGACGTTCGACGCGCGTCTTTCATGCATCTCGCGAGATCTCGCAATTGTTCGGAAAATCACCTATTGCCTCATTCCACATGAAATGTCACGTCAGTAGTAAAAACATTCATGTACAATAATAATTACATTCTAGTCAGAGAATAATATTTAATGTTTTATTTACATTCCAATCAAACTTAGCACTGACAATAAAAGCATGGTAATACTAATCAAGTGCAATAAATTGCTATTACAATAGTACCATGGTGAATTTGTTTTGTTTGACATTAAGAAACTTTGGTGTGCCTTTGAAATACAGCACTGATAACTTTACACTGAGGTAGATCCAATAAAATTGTAGACAAGTATAGGGTCTACATTTAAGCATTCTTACATTGCAGTTTTGCTCTATTCTCAAGGAGGAGAATGTTATATGTTGCCTGGTTGCACACCACTATCTAATGTATTTTCATGGGCTATGCATGAGCTGCTGTGGAACGCCGGTCGAGAAGCCAGTGAAATAGCAGAAGTAAAAAAAAAACGACACAAATTCAATTTTGTGGTAACCCTAAGCAACCCAATTTATATATGTTACACATGTCTGGGTAGTTTTGTTACTCTTTAAGAGAGTCTCAATAACTATCCTAAAGCACCATTTGCTGAGCCTTTTCAGTTTTTGTTTTCACTTTTGATGGATGCTAAACGAGAATATGCAAGAAAATTGAAAATCTTTATGCCAATTACAGTATTTTAAACAACATTATGAGGTTTACAAGACTTAATAGGCAGGCTCATCAGCTTAATCAAAACCAAAAGTTTATAGCCAATTAGATAATGAGAAAATTTGCTGACTTGCCGCCCCAGTACTTCTGTAACATTTATTGAATACATTCAAATAAGTAGCAATCCTCATTTGCTACATGTGCTGCACTTCAACTAGTATGCAAAATTACAAAAAAAAAAACTGAAGCACATGTTTTCAATTGATGTGAGCTTGATAATACAAATCCTTTTTTGCCTAAAAATGATAAATATATCATAAATATAATTATAATATTTATTGTTAAAAATAGGTTTAAAAATATTTCGTTAAAAGCATTGTAGCCCTATAATACATCAGAACCAGTGACAACAACCAAAGAACTTTACTGAGAGTGGACATTTCTATACAGCCCATACAAATGATAAGTTTAGTTCACATGCTATATTTGTTGTATTAACCTTTTCAACACCGGACTTTTTTGGCTAAATATTTTGTTCTTATACTCTTCTGGGAACAAACCCAAATTTTCAGTTTTTACTTTAAAAATTTGGCTATTTTTCTCTCAATCTTCTAATGGAAATTGCAGACTATAAACGGGAGTGATGAAAAGAAGGAACTGTTGGTGAAGAGTTAACAGCGCATCTTTAATGGGTTCACATACATAACCTGAAAAATTCTGTTAGATTTCGCCATGAGATTTATGAGCAATTTTCATTGTCCAGTGCATGCTCACACTTACCGGTAATATAAATAAACACTATATTACAAATGCATTAACGTTACTCAAAACCAATGTGTCACCCTTTAAAATGATCATCCACTGCTATTTAAATTTTCTGTAGTCGAAATTTCAAGAAAGTCGAATTGTCCTTGTGTCCCTAAAGAACCCTAAGATATTGTAATTTCCTTGATTTACAGAATTCACAAAAAGTGCTTTTTTTTATTTGGTAATAATAATCTGTATATCATAATCTCTACCAACGTTAAATAAATGAGCATCATCTATGGAAACGTAAATGAGCAATCTTATTTACCAATACCAAATCGTCCAAGACCAAAATGTTCGTCATCCATCACATTTAGCTCGCTTTCATACAACTTAAAGCTAGCGTAGCAATTTGAATGATGGAGAGTAAATATTCAATGTCCCTTTATTACAAAATAGATAGCTTTCAGATGGCTTATATTATACTTTATAAGTATGTTTTTAATAAAAAATACCCGTTCTATTCAAAAAAAAAATACTTTAGCCATGATGCACTTACTTTCATTTTTTTGTGATACATTACATATAAGCTATGTCGAGATCAACTTTCACACAAATGATTTATCTGTGCTCTTCATCTTCTCCAAAGTCAGCCAATATGATGCTTTACACCGACATAATTTATTCTTAAGGTAGAAGCCTACTCATAAATTGAAAAACCCAAAATTTATTAATTTTGCAATATATTGTACTCCAAGGACATTGACCTAAAAAAAAGTCACCAGCCTTTTTTTCGAGAAATTGATAGTGGTATTTTAGTGGAAAGTCGCCATTTTGGCACTACTATAACACTTTTACCACAGGTTCCTATGGCAGAGATATTATGAAATTTCTCAAAATTGAGCCTGATGACATAGGCTGAAAAAATCATATATTGTTAATGATGGAGTACTTTTTGTTGTTCTGAATTATTAAAAAATGTCAAAAAATGCAATTTTTCTTTAACATTGTGTTCTATGGAATTGTTCTAAAAATAGCAATTTTCAAGAAATATTAGTACATGTTTCACAAAAAGCATAACTGTAATACACAAAATAATGCTATTTCATTGTACCATGGGACATTAGCTTCATGATTGTACATGTTAAACTAATGCAATTCATGACCAATTTTGTCAGTAGGCTTCTACCTTAAGTTATTTATAAATTGTGTGCAGCAGATACAATGTATGCACATTACATTTCTGGATCACTGTCTGCAAATTTCACTACTGTGTGTCCTGCAGTAGAAATCAAGTACAAAACTAAAGCATGTAGAAATTATGCCATCCTTTCGGTAATAAAAGCATGCATTTAAACATTAACCTTTTTACCACCAGACTATCTCGCCCAAATTTTGTTTGGAAATGAATCCTATTTTTGGAGCCAACACACAATTTTTGTCCAAATCTTTGGAATGAAAGTGCAGACTATAAACAGGACTATTTTGTGAATTTGTGATGAAAACAGGTAACTGGTGATGAAAAGGTTAAAATGATAAAATATGAAACACAGTATAAAGTATCTTAATAAGCACATAATAGAAATGTATAACAGTATTAAATGAAAATGCAAATCTTTATACACTACAATATTTAAAAGGGTGATAGTCAGAGTGCTTTTTATGTTGTAAAATGCACAAAATAGCGTAAAAATAGACTGACCTTTTAAGATGGAGTACAAAAAGATAACCACTGTCACTTCTAAAGACTTTCTCAATGCTAGTTGATGCGGAAATATGGTAAATTTAAGTCTAAGCAACAATGCTATGATACAATAAATATTTAAAACCTATTGCTGAAGAAATTTCTTGAGTATCCCATTGCTGTGCTTTTAAATTTCCCCCACTGACCAAATGGTACAACAATCGCTGTGCAATTGTCATCACTACCGTACTGCAGTGCTTGGTCTGCCACACGAAGTGCTGCTTCCGATGGATCGGGTGCCCTGTTTACCGCTTCACATAGCTCTTGATCGTTCATCACAAAGTTGACACCATCAGTTGAGAGCACCAAGAAACTGTCTCGGTTATGCCGCACCTAAAATGCAATGACAGTCATGTGTCTTATGGTATTACTAGTTTCATTGTACGCATACACATGAAGATAAATTAAAAAAGTAGAAATATATTTTAATTTATGCATTTTGTATTCAAATACATCCAAGTCAAGGTGTCTTTGAGATATTATAGGGAAACACTGTCAAACAAATCCTGAACATGCAAACTTTATTGTCACTAGAGGGTGCTTTCAGCATTCCTGCTGGTGCACTGCTGAGAAAACTTACCTCAAGAGATGTCGTTTCTGGTTCGGCGATAACACCGTAGCGCTTAAGTGGTAGATCACCAAAGCTTCTGGTCATTGTCAATGAACCGTTTACTAATGGCGTACCAAGACTGTTCCAACTGAATATGTAAACAAACAAACAAAATTTTAACCTAGAATAAAGTAACATAGGACACAGATCTTTTAACCTTTTTACCACTAGACTTTCTCGCCTAAATATTTCTAGAAATGAACCCTAATTTTGGAGCCAACAGACAAAATTTGAGTAAATTTTTGGTTTTTACTCAAAATATTTGGCTATTTTTGTCCTAATCTTTCGAAAGAAAGTGCAGACTATAAACAGGACTATTTAGTGAATTTGTGATGAAAAGAGGGAACTACTGGTGATGAAAAGGTCAAGCAATTGACTATCTTAAAGCGCAGTGGTCGTCGCGCAGCACGTGTTTGAATTTCATGTAAATAAACAATGAATTTTACATGCGTTGTATAAGTCGCTATGAGTTCCATATCGAACAGGATGCAGTGCGACGACTGCCGCCCTTTTATTTTTCCCACCAAAAATTTGGGGCAAGATTTTGTCTATTTTTTTTTTTCGTAATTGTTTTGATAAATTTTGAACCAAATGGACATAATTTTTACTGACTTCAAGTCTTGATCAAAATTTTCGAAAACATAGCAAAGTTTTTTTTTATGAATTTAGCTACACATTTTCTGTAAATTTTCTCATATTTGTTTAAATTTTCATAAAAAAACAACTTTTTCTCTGATTCATGAAAATTTGTTTCCTGTGAAATTACAGCAGTTTATACTAAAAAAAACACTCACCTTATAAATCCTTTGTTTGCTTTAATTCTTTCAGCTTCATCTGGATCTTCTGGTTCATGGTCTTTTGTCAATCTTTTAGCGACACCCTTGCGACACAGTATTGCACGGCTATCACCAACGCTAGCAACCACCAACTCAATGCCGTCTCGCAGTAAACACACTGTGGCAGTAGATCCCATAAAATAAAACTCTGGTTCTATCAAAATAATTATTAAGTAGAAAACAAAATTGTGATGACATTTTTTGAAATACTATGAGGTTAACAGGAGAATATCGCAAAGTATACACGAAGGCCATTGACGACTATATCGACCAACTCATAGCCAAGGTCAATACATACTCGTAATGCCCAAGTACATACAACAAATAAATTCTATTTCCGAGGTCAGATGTATAACAATTGCTTTTATCAGGAGATAAAATAACATGCTATTATATAAAATGCATGATTGTTTTCATGAATAATCATGACATAAAGTAAATGCATGTCATGTTTGCTCATGAATTTTCATTGTGTGATAACGTGTTGAAGTGAATACCGATTATGTGGATAAATTTATTTCAATAGTATTTGCAATTGTTAGCACATTTGTGATCAGAAATTGAAATTCGTAATTTGTCAACTGGAAAATATTTTCTAAAATTTGTTAAAATTGTCAATTGCTACGTTCACACAACAGCATTTTATCGGAGCCCCACGGCTCGAGCCAGCAAAAATGGTCGTGTATACGCATTTGGCTCAAGCCGGCTGGAGCCAAGTTCGCTCCAAATAACCCCCGGGGTTGAACTCCAATTGGTTGAGCCCCGACTGTGTATACGCAGGGCCCAACTATCGGAGCCCAAATCACGCCCTAAAACGTCTTCTTCAAGTAACCTATCATATCAATTATGGTGGAGACAACATCATTCGTAACTTCACGCAATTTACGATTTGAAAAAGAGGTACGCGCCCTAATATTTATTTGGCAGAGTAAAGAAATACAGCGATAGGCTGACAGGTCAACCGGAAAAAGATTGATAACTGTAACACATATCACAACATTTGAACAATAACAATAGGCTGTAACACATTTTAGCTGCCATGTTTCCTGTTTATTCGAGATACTAGTACCTAAATCATAACACCTGTTCATTGACTTTTCTACCTCCATGCTCAGACTAGATCGTTACTGTTTCTTTTTTTTTCTCCCAGCTCAATAGAATCATTCCATGTAAAGAAACAACACAATCCTGACACCAACATCATTTTCAGCCATGTTTTTTTTTCATACTAATTATTTGACCGAACTGAATCGAACTATGGCAGATCTCGGCTCTCTTTCAGCTCCCGTCAGATCGTATGAACGCATTGGAGATAATCTCCTATTAATCGGTGGGAGGAGCAGTAGTTCGGCTCTGGTAGAATGCTGCCGTGTGAACATAGCAAATGATGGAAGGGCCAAGCAATTAATTAAATGAATATAAAGCGAAACATAAATAAAGTTTTACAACTTACCTTCATACTCAAAATGCATGTGTCTTGTTAAAACATTATTAAAGTCTATGAATGAATGCTTCAGCACACTCTGTAAATCTTTCTCCTGATCCAACCAAAATCTTATAAAATGTTCCAGGTAAACAGATGCATAATCTGCAATTAAAGAACCTGCATGTCCATCAAACACAGCGAAATACAAAAGATCCGGTCCTGTCAATTCCTTGATACATATTCGGTCTTCGTTCACTTTCCGTCTTCCCGTTAACGAGGCATGCCCGACGTCATCTATGGATACTTTTGGGATGATTTTTCCATGCTTTATGCTTTGCTGTATCATAATAGGTGCATTGATCCTATTATCCCATGTCCCAAAGGTATCAAAGTTGACACCACGTCTGTTGCGGGTCTTTCCCTGTGAGGAACGCCATCTTGTTTGTTGAGAAGTGCTTGGAGCTGCAGCTTTCTTATGAATGTGCAAGACAGATTGATTTCGACCATGCAGGACCAGTCTGGTGGTTTTTAACATTTCCACAAATTAATGTTTCAAAGCATATTCTGTAGGAAAAGGGAAATTTTCATCATTCAAAGATATATTTATACAATTTTGGATAAGATTCTATGCAAGATATTGTGCAAGCCACAGGCTTTACATGAAACACTTTGTAGAAATGACATTTTATTGTGATGAAACAAACCCTGCAACATTGAAAATGTTACAAGAGTTTTCCAAACTGAATTTCAAGTCAAAATGTTATGCTTATTCAGGACATATGCAACATTTCATGTACAGTTGAATATGCAACATTTCCCATACAGTTGAATATGCAACATTTCACGTAAAGTTGAATATGCAACATTTCACATACAGTTGAATATGCAACATTTCACGTACAGTTGAATATGCAACATTTCACGTAGAGTTGAATATGCAACATTTCACGTAAAGTTGAATATACAACATTTCACGTACAGTTGAATATACAACAGTAACCATGGTGGTTTTACCAGGCTAAAAGTTTCAAGAAAACAAACTAAGTTAGTGCTATGCTAATAAAGGAAATGTATGTTACTGTAAAATACTTTATTTTAGCTGGAATTAATTTTCGCTGAAAAGACATTTTTGGTGCTTTGTATGGAATTTATTTTCACTAATTTTGACAGGTTGAATGTAAAATATAGGAAAAAAGATATATTCGCTCGATTTTATTTTCACTGAATCATTCCTTATAATAATTCCAAGCAAAAATAAAGTATTCTACAGTATATTGCAAATTGTCATGCTGTTCAAAATTACTGGAAGGAACACAGTTTCCGTTTGTGAAATATACCATCTATAAGCCTTATAGAAACTATCATTTTGGTTTTCTTGTGATGTCCAAATCATTTAAATCTGACACTGGAACTAAACTGTAAAAGTCAATGTCACTCACTATGCATTTACGTTGTTATGTTGAGTTGAGTTTTCCAGGTTAATGTGAATTATGTAGTTGAATGGCAACATTTTCAAATCAAATAAGGAACCAAACTACACACTATAACAGTTTGACAGTTTTTATGAACTGTATAAAATGTGAATCGAACCACCTTGTCAACGTTTTACTTTATAGACACAGTCCCTCTGCCTGTGTGCTTAGCAAGATTATGAGCATCGCCTAGTCTTGCTTTTATTAGGATAAACTGTTATTATTTGAAAGTAGTGATCTTGCACAGCTCACAGCACAGGCCGAGAGGTCAAATACATGCTACGAAAACGTGCGTGGATGCTTAGCATAGGCTAAGAAATGCTAAGTTAAATCTGGCTTGTTTTATAGACAATAGGATGAAAAGCAACGATGAAAATAGTTATAAAATAAAATACCCAAATATAGTGATATAATGAAAATATAAATACTGTATTATTTGCACTGTTTAACGAACAGTCAACAGTTTTCTGGTAATTTCCAAAATGTACCGGGATTCGCTGACATGTTTTCATGTTCCAGTGTCAGCCTGAGTACAATCCTGTAGGTTGGTCTCCTTCCGCTAATCATTCGGCCCCCACAGTCCTGAGAAGTCGCATATGTAAGGCCTGTATCGAGCGATTTTAGAGGCATTCAGCTTTGGGGTTGAAACATAAGCAGGTCAAAACGTCTAACTATCCCAAATACCTTAACTAGAAATGAAATTACATAATAATAATAATATTTATATTAATAACAAGACACTTCGCGATGAGCGTCTTTGCGGTCAGTAATATTTATGAACATTTTTGTTCACTATTGGCGATCCGTTCTAGGATTGCCCTTAAAATCAATTTTGTGTTTCTGAGTGTGTGGTTTCCGGTGTTTTCACGTATTAATCTTCTGTGATTGTTTTGGCTTGGGCTTATTTCCCTCAAACTTGACAGGCAGTCACACATCACCTAGTTATAGTAAATCTGAGAAAA